AAAAAAAAAAAAAAAAAACAGCTCTCAGATAAGGCCTTTCCAGTTTGCAAACTCACTGCTGCTGTGCTTACAGCTGCCAGCGGGATTAGACAGAACAAACACAGGCAACTACTTGCCAGTTCTCCACTGCTTTTGTCCTCCTCATGGGGTCCAGAAGTCTCTCGCTGACTTCCCTTCACCAAAGGGATGTTTCTGGGCAGATCCCACTGGCCAGAGATGCCTGGAGTCTTCTCTCCCCAGTCTTCGTGCCCAGTTGCAAGGAAGCTGTTACTCGGCCACCATCTTGTTCCCACCTGGTTATCTTTTAATGATAATAACTCCTGCATTTCTTTAACAATTCTCAGTTCACAAGCTAAATAAGTATGTATTCCTTAAACAAGTTAAGGATTATGAGTTTGTAGATTAGGTTTTGTGTCTATGTTAAAGCGTTTACACTTGGCTGGATGAGGTGACTCATACCTTGAATCTGAACACTTTGAGACCAGTGTCAGCAACATAGTGAGACCCCATCTCTACAAATAAAATACTTAGCTGGGTGTGGTGGTGCATGCCTGTGGTCCCCAGCTATTGAGGAGGCTGAGGCAAGAACTCTTGAGCCCAGGAGTTTGAGGTTGAAGTGAGCTATGATGATGTCACTGCACTCTAGTTCAGGTGATGGAGTAAGACCCTGTCTCCAAAAACAAAAATTTAAACTTGTAATTAAACCAGCCTTTTCTTTTAGGCAGTTAAAAGTATCGTATCTATTGTTTTTGGTACTCGAAGAATTGCCTGGGTTCACCTTGATCATAAATTGACAGTGCTGGATTGGCAGCAAAGTGACCATTGGAAATTACCGAGCAGAACATACCCGGCATCAGTCTATTTAGAAGAGGTAAGGCAGATGCATCTCCAAATACCTATCTGCTATCGCTCCTTGTATAGTTTAATTTTCTAGTCCCAAAAGAAATGTAGTAAAAAATTTCTTAATGGTAAATACTTAGTACCCTGCCTATTGTTTTCCATCACCTTTGATTTTTAAAAAACTAAGTCATTCTTCAGTTAGTTCAAGAAATGCCTTATGTGTCAAAGGAAGATGCTGACAAAGTCAGTGGTAAAGTATATCATTCCAAATGTTCCAGAACATCACTATATTTATAAAGTTTATTTAAAAAAATGCTTTCCCACTGTCTCCTTTCAGTCTTCAAAACCTTGTGAAATGAAGGCTCACAGTGGCTCACGCCTATAATCCTAGCACTCTGGAAGGCTGAGGCGGGTGGGGTGCCTGAGCTCATGAGTTCGAGACTAGCTTGAGCCAGAGTGAGACTCTGTCTCTAAAAATAGTTGGGTATTGTGGCGGGCCACTATAGTCCCAGCTACTTGACAGGCTGAGGCAGGAGAATTGCTTGAGCCTAAGATTTTGAGGATGTTGTGAGCTATGATGTCATGGCACTCTACTATGGGTGACAAAGTGAGACAGAGTCACACACATACACACAAAAACAATCTTGTGAAATGGGCAGGAATTATTACATTGATTATATATATGAAAACTGTGGTTCAGTCAAGCATTTGATGTTTAGCCAGTTGGAGAGATGATTGATTCTTGGTTATTCTAACCCTAGAAATGGTTTAAACGTTAATAAAATATCTTTAAGTCTTCTAATCTAAAGGACAATGTACAACTTTAGAAATTATGAAGCTCATTTTTCACATGAAGAAACTGGTACTTAGAGAGACTAAACAGCTTAGCTTAGCCTGTTCCTGATAGAACTATGACCAGAACTTGGCTGCCTGTAAAATGCTTCTGAAGTTATTTCAGAATTGTTAAAAGCAATATAAGTTACCTCATTACAGTATTTTAAAGTAGAAGTGGAACAGAGAGGAGACCCAAACATAAAACTTAATGTATTATTTCTGCTCACTTACTTTGTCTTTTTTTTTTAAAGATTTCATCAGTCATTTCAAAGATGCCTAAAGCAGATTTCTATGTTCTGGAAAAAACAGCACTTTCCATTCAGAACTCATCTCTGTTTCCTATACTGTTACATTTCCACATCACGGAAGCCATGCTGTATGCCTTATTAAATAAAACTTTTGCCCAGGATGGGCAGCATCAGGTGCTGAGCATGAATCGAAATGCAGTGGGGAGGCACTTTGAACTGATGATCGGTGGCTCCCGAAGTAGTGGAAAAGACCTCGTAAAGCAATTCCTCTCTGAGTCTGTATTGAAGGCAGATCCTCGGGTGGTCTTCCCAGCAGATAAAGTAGTCCTCTACAGACAGATGTTTTCATCTACTGAAGCACAAAGAGTAGAAGAGTTATATGATTCATTATTACAAGCTGTTGCCTTCTATGAATTAGCAGTTTTTGATGTTAAGTGTTAGAATTCTGAGGCTGCCCTCAGAATAAGTTAATGTTATATTAACTTATTAGCCCCAAAGTTGTATGTAAAATCAACTATTTTGAATATCCATGTTAATGGAGAAGAAAACATGAGTGTTTTTTTAGATGTTTAAATCTGACTTTCAGCTATTGAATACACAGAGCCAATTCCAAATCAATAAATATTTTGAAATGCTACACCTTTCAGGTTTTAGTGCTAATAAAATACCCCCCAAATAGCCAAAATAAGAAACAAAGTTATTTCCCTTTAAAAGCAAATATTATGGGTGGCGTCTGTGGCTCAAAGGAGTAGGGTGCTGGCCTTATATGCCAGAGGTGGCAGGTTCAAACCTAGCCCCGGCCAAAATGCAAAAAAAAAAAAAAGCAAATATCATCTGTACTAAGACTCGCATTATTCATTATTATGCTGTTAAAGTAAGGAATAATGATTTTTGTGTGTGGTCTTCATCATGAGAATAAAGCTAAAGACAAATGACGACACAACTTGTAGAATCCTCTTATTCTCCAGGTAGAATGTGGTTTGCTGTACTGCCTCCAAAAGACAGTTTTCATCCGTTAAATCTATTAACCCCAGGACAAACAAGATTTTTCTAATAGGCTCATTTTTTAACTCTTAATATTTTACTTGACGATCTTTTGATAAAAGTAGCACTTAATTTTTCCCTATACCGCTCCATTTTTCCATTATGTTTGCCTTAGTTCAGACCCTTACCCATACCTCCTATCCTGAACCCATGTCTCTTTGATGTCAAAGTATTAAACCTTTTCTTTAATCCAGAACTGAAATATGCTTGTTGGAAAAAAATTCAAATGATGAAGCCAGGTGTGGTGGCTCATGTCTACAACCCTAGCACTCTGGGAGACTTGAGGCAGGAGGACCCCTTGAGCTCTGGAGTTCAAAACTAGCCTAAGCAAGCTCAAGAACCCTTCCCTACTAAAAATAAAAAAAATTAGCTGAGCATTGTGGTGGGTATCTGTAGTCCTATCTACTTGGGAGGCTAAAGCAGGAGGATCACGTGAGCCCAGGAGTTTGAGGTTGCTGTCAGCTATGCTGACACCACAGCACTCTAGCCCAAGTGACAGAGGAAGACTCTTTTTTTTTTTTTTT